TCCTTTTTCTCACTGTTTAAATACCTGGTATATGGCCAAAAGGGTGAAGAACTAGACTGAATTATGTGAGAGACTTCAATTCAGTTCCCAGGATGTGACTGTCATCCGCAAATTCACAATTCTTTAATAAACCTGAAACATCAATCGACTTTAACTTGTATTAAAAGGCTCTGTTCAGTCCCACAGGGAGATGGAGTGCACTTTGTTGCTATAGCAGTTTAGGGGAGTTAAAGTAAATTAAAGGAACAGTTAAGGAAAAAACTGAAATTGCTAACGGGTGGGAGCAGAATTCTAACTATGAAGAATAAATGAACATTCTCCATTAGCTTTTAAGTTGCACACCTACGAAATATCTTGGGACATTTTGCTGTGTTGATGGTGCTGTATAAATGTAAGTAACTGCTGTTATATTTCCTGAGAACTGTTCTTGCTGTACATGCTGTAACTTCACTAGGAATTTGAAGAGGGATTGAGGTGACTGGGGCTATATTCCTTCGATCTTCGGACAAAGAATGGTGATCCCATTGAAATACAAAGGCTTTGAGGGAGGTGAGGGCTTAGTGGTATCATCGATAGCTTATTAATCCTGAGACTGAGGTAATGTTCTGGGCTCATGGGTTTGAATCTTGCCCTTACAGATGGTGGAATTTGAACTCAATAAAAATCTGGAATTAAGAGTTTAATGAAAAACAGGAAGCCAATGTTGATTGTCAGGGAAACTCATCTGGTTTACTAATGTCCTTTAGGGAGGGAATCCTTACCTGCTCTACATGTGACTCCAGACCCACAGCAATGTGAGTGACACTTAACTGCTCTCTGGGCAACTAGGAATGGGCAATAAATGCTGGCCTAGCCAGAGATACTTTGTATTTGAGATGAGGAAGGATTTCTTCTCTTAGAGATTGGTGAATCTTTGGGATCATCTGCCCCAGAGGGACGTGGATGCTCCGAAATTGAGTGTTGAGAAGGCGAATTGTTGGATTTCTAGTCAATGATGTCAAGGGTGTGGCGTAGATTGAGAGAACAGTGCTGGGGTAGAAGATTTGCCCTGAGCTAGTGGAATAGTGGAGCAGGCTGAATGGGCCTAGCCCTGTTCCTATTTCCTTTGTGCCTCTCAGCAGAGTGAAGGCCAGCTACAGGGAAATTTGGGATTTGTTGCATTCTGCCACTCCTTACAAACCATGGTGGAAATGGAATTTCTGATGAATCATTAAGCACAGAAGGATGCTGTTTGGTCTATTGTGCCTGTGCTGTACTCAGTGCTAATACTACCATAGAATCAGACCATTGCGGGTAGCACGGTGGCTCAGTGGTTATCATTGCTGCCTCACAGCACCAGGGGCCCTAGTTCAATTCTACTTTCGGGCAACTGTCTGCGTGGAGTTTGCACATTCTCCCTGTGTCTGTATGCGTGCTCTGGTTTCCTCCCACAGTCCAAAGGTGTGTGGATTAGTTGAAACAGCCATGCTAAATTGCTCCATGGTCTGCAGGCTAGATGGGTTAGCCACAGGAAATGCAGGGTTACAGGGATAGGGTAGGGGAATCAGTCTGGGTGGGATCCTCTTTGGAGGGTCAGTGTGGAGTCATTGGGCCGAATGGCCTGTTTCCACACTGTAGAGGCTCCCAGGGTTCCACAGACTTGGGCACAAAATCTAGGCTGACTCTTTGGTGGAAGTACTATAATGAGCTGTTTTCCAGATCAGGTGACTATCCTTGGTGGTGGATGTAGAAGATTCCTTGGCCTTATTTAACAAAAGCAGAGGAACTCTTCAGAGCATGTCTGGACCCATGTTCCTTCCTCAACCAATATCACTTTGTTGTTCTTAAGCTGGCGGATGGCCTTGGTGGAATGCTGGTTGTTGCAGAGCTCATGGCTTGTCATCTACATCACCGACATGAGCCTCCCCAAGCAGGTGCTCTGCTCCCAGCTTCAATAGGGCAGGTGTGCCCCATGTGGACAGAGGAAGTGCTTCAGTGATCCCTTCACTGGCAAAGTGCGGCATTCCCACTGACACCTGGGAATCACTGGTCCCAGACCGTCCAAAGTGGAGGAGGAGCATCCGGGAAGGCATTGAGCATCTTGAGACTTGACATTGGGAAGAAGTTGAAGCCAGGCAAAAACAGGGTAAGGAGCTCGCGGCCACTCCAATGCCCCAACAACCCTTCCCCATGACCACCTCCTGCCCCAAGTGTGTCAGATCCTGCTTTAGCTGTGTTGCTCTGTACAGCCACCTACAGACTCACCCTAAGAGTGGAAGAGAGTCATCCTCATCTGCGAGGGACTGCCAATGACGATGATGATCACTAAAATAGGTAAATAAAACAAGAACTGCAGATGCTGGAAATCTGAAATGAAAGCAGAAATTGCTGGAGAAACTCAGCCAGTCTGACAACATCTGTGGAGAGAGATAGAGTGAGACAGAGTTAATGTTTCAAGTCCAGTGTGGCTCTTTTTCAGAACTCTTGCCTTTACACCTCTGTTCATCCTTTGTTCTTTGGACACTAATCCATTCCTCATTGTCTGCTCTGTCCCTTCCAGCATCAGAACCAACTCTTCAGTCACTCCAATGAGGAAACACTGTCCCTAAATCCTTCTACCTCACCATCCACCTCGCTTCCTCCAGCAAGTTTCTTGAAAATCTTCACTTCTTTCTGTAACTGGCTGCTTCCTGCATCCATCCACCCATTTACTACCCCCCCTTTTCCTTTCCCTACTTCTTGATATCTGTGATAGTAGGAACTGCTATCTATGTTTATTGATAGATAGCAATAACTATCTATGCTGGAGATGCTGGAGAATCTGAGACAACAAGGTGCAGAGCTGGATGAACACAGCAGGCCAAGTAGCGTTCTTGATATCTGTGTCAGAGATAGTAGGAACTGCAGATGCTGGAGAATCCGAGACAACAAGGTGCAGGGCTGGATGAACACAGCAGGCCAAGCAGCATCATAGGAGCAGAGAGGCTCTCTGCTCCTATGATG